AGGAAACATTCACTCTCAGTGTTAGGCAAGTGGAAGATCAGCACTGGAGAATGAATTCTTCCCTGAATTTTGTGCCCAGCTCATGTGCCTCATTCCTGTCTGTTCCCGGAAGACAGAACGAGGGAGGAAAGCACAATCCCTGTTAGAAGGGAAGAGGTATGCCTTCTCCTCAAGGACTGATTTGGAAAAGGGCTAAATTATTGTGTGGGAGCTTCTTGAACGGGGAGTCTGCTTCAGAAGCACGGCTCCACAGTGTGGAGGGCAGTCCATGATGACTGTGGGCACTCAGGGGGGTGGTGTTGCTAAATTCAACTAGAAAACAACTTCTTTGAATAAGAATTCTCAGCCAATATCCTGTTGAGTATCTTCTCTGGTGAGCTCCAGCTGTGGCACCTTGAGCATCTATGGTTATGTTCATGGTCTTCTTGTGCTGCTCCCACCAGCGACTAGAGATGATGGGGGGAGGGAGGACTAGAGCCAAGCCATTCTTGGCCAACGAAGAGTCCTCCACTGGGCAGTTTTTATTCTGAGACTTTTTTACAGCTGCAATGCAGCCCGAGGCTCTTTCTGCCGACTCCTGCTCCCTCCCTTTTATTCCTCATAAATGTTTCCACCAGTATATTTCTTGCACGTCTACGTATGACTTGACATCCGCTCTTAGAAGACCAGGATGAACCCAGCAGTCCCTCCCCACCATGGCAGGGCATTGTGGAAGTTTGTATTGGTCTGTAGAGTCCCTGTGGGCAGATCTACAGAGGGATTTGGAGAACTGGTTGCTATAGGAAGTATATGAGATTGGTGTTGTTAACAGTATCAACAAGGTTTAGGATATGACCACCTGAGTGGGTAGTGAATGTAGGGTAGAGGGTATGATCATTGGATTGCAGAAACCTGTGTCCTGGATGAATCACGCTGTGACTGAAGACAGGAATAGGGGTGGGGACAGTGAGCCAGAGGCCATGGCACTAATGCATAGTGGAGGATAACCTCATACTGTTAGTGCTGATGATACCCGAGTTCAGTGGGTGGAGACCCCTGTCCAGAGAGATTTAGAACTTTGTAAAATATGGTGCAGGCTCTGTCCAAAGAATACATAGTGGGTGGGTTAGGTGGAAGTCATGGTCCACACGCATGATGCCACTGGAATGAAACCAGTGGTTTGACCCCTTATTTATTGGTGTGCAGGAGAGAGCCTGGGATGCTCACTGACTTCTTTTATGTGGTGGACAAAAGGGGGAGGCCAGGGGTTTCTCTCATAGTCCGCCACTGCTCAGAGTGGCACAAGCCAAGCTGCTGGTTGACTGGTGGCCACTTAGCATAATCCTGTGCGCCAGCAAAAGGAACCATGACAGCTTCTGGGTAAAGTCTCAGCTTGGAGCACCTAGTTGCAAACTGTGAAATTCCAAAGTAGCCCAATACCATACACTGATGAAAAGGGAGGCCGGAGGTGGCTGTAGACTTGTCAGGAATCTCGTCAGTTTACAAGATACAGCGAGAAGCTTGTAATTAACCTTCTACTCATCACAGAATTGTTTTTGAAAGGGAGGCAAGGATCCACTTGGTCCCAAGGCAATTGCTAACAAAATCAAATCTTCTATGATCATTTGAGAGGGTGAGCAGAGGAGCCTCGCCTGCCTCATCAGCCAGCAGCAGGTGGGTGATGGGTAGGGAGCTAGGACGGGGAGATGACAATCACTTCTGGGTGGGACCCTTCGCACACCTCACATCAGGGGAAGTGATTCCCTTCTTGCGGACCTTTATATAGCAAGCTTCCGACTGGGATGATGGGCATGTGGACAGCATAAGAAAACAGCTTCTTCATTCTGAGCAGAAAGAGATCTGGGAGTTGATCTTAATTTGTGTTCTAAATCAGAAGCTGAGACGAGGCTTGGGGGACAGGTAGTCTATTTGAAATGTGATACCAGGAGACAAAAGTGAAGGAAAAAGAAGGGAGAGTTAGCTAAGGAAGAAAGAAACTATCCCCCACCCCTCAAAAAAGCTGCTTAGTGCTGTGGGCAACTGGGCGTAGGGTGAGCTGAGAGAGTCTCCTAGGTACAAAAGTTAAGGGGCAGGCACTTCCTCTCAGGTTTGTGAAAAACTGGCCCTACAACTAGGGCTCAGACTTTGTAGGGATTCTCTGAGACCTTAACTCAGAATTGTTCCTCCCAGGCATGGGAGCCCGGGGTATCCATTTCTCTCTCCCAACTCTTGTGCCCATTGGTTGAGAGTTGTCCTCAAGGGTGTCGCCATCTCTCCTTCCCCATGCCCTTCTGGGCTGCCATGCCTGTGTGGAGAAGAGCCCAGTGGATTTGGAGAAAACCGTAAGAGAGAAAGGCTGTGTCCTTGTATTCCAAGTCAGAAGAGACACCAGCAGTGTCTGCCACAGCGGTCCTCTATCCTGACCACCAGTCAAAGTGCCACCATGTCCAGGGAGGCTCCCTTGTGGTTAGAGGTCCCTTTGTACGTGAAGCACCGTGTGAATCACCAGACCCGTCTGTGCTCAAGGGGGGGAGGGGCAGCAGCATCGCCCTTTGCGAAGACCACCCTGGGACACAGTGTGGCAGGAGGGGTTCTCGAGTTGTCTCTACTTTTATCTTTCTCCTTCTTTAAGGGGCAGGGAGAGCATTTTTAGCTCCATCAATCCTCCTGATGAGTTCAACAGGGCTGGAATCTTTATTCTCATTGTATAGTCCAGGAAAGTTGTTCAGAGAAGTGGTGACAGGTGAGTGACAGAAAGCCTGGAATCAAAAGGAACCTTCTACCCTCTCATCCAGAGCTCGGTCCAGATCACCATATTGTTTAGGCTCTGAATTGAGTGTTTCCGTGGGGATCATTTCCAGACATTTTCGGCTTCCAAGTGGTTCTGGGTTCCCTGTTCTAACTGCAAGAAGCATCATTCTTCAGCAGGCACATGCACATGTGCCTTTATATTGCTTTATAACACAATTACATCTGGAAGCAGGAGCAGCCACATTTTTAATAATCAGTTAACTCCGTTCTGGTCAGGGGAAAAAAAACAAAACAAAACAAAACAAAAGAGCCCTCTTCATCATGCTCCTTTAGAATTTGTTATCTTTGTGCAACCAATCGTATCGACCCAGTTTTGTTGTTGTTGTTGCTGGTTTTTGTTAGAACCGGTGTTTTAAAGGGTCAACAGTTGACATAAACTTTCTTGCTACAGATTTGATGCCCATGGGCAAATCCTGCCTTTCTCCCCCTGAGCTCACTTGGCTGATGAGTCATGTGGGGCTTCTCAGGAGAGCACACTTCAAACGGATTTCCACTTCAGGGAACGTAGGAGTAATTTTCTGGAGACACAGTGCATTGCAGGTATTTGAGTCCTAGGGAACTTTTTTTTTCTTTTTAAAATTTTCCAAAACATTTTATTGATTGATTGAGAGAGAAACATCTATCTGTAGTTCCACCTATCCATGCATTCATTGGTTGACTCTTCGATGTGTCCTGACCCAGGATCAAACCCACTACCCTTCAGTGTGTGGGCCAATGCTCTAACCAGTGAGCCATGCTGGCCAGGGCCCTAAACGATATATTTAATTTTGTCTATCTTTGAACTTCATAAAATCATATAGTATGTGTATAGTCTCGTGTCTGGATTCTTTCACTTCATGTTATGTTTCTAAGATTTCTGTATAGACTTCCATAGGCTATACTATCCATTCTCATTGCCACATAAAATCACATCAAAAAATGTACCACAAGTTAATCTATCCTCCTGCTGTTGGATATTAGGTTCTAATTTGGGTTCAGTAGGAACAATGTTGATTAAGAAACGTTGTACATGTCTCCTAGAGTATGCATGCATGGATTTCTCTAGGTTTCATACCTAAAAGTAGAAAGCCTGAGTCATGGGTGGATATGTCTTCAACAATCCTAGTAAGGTTGAACGGTTTTCCAAAATGGTTGTGCCAGTTTACTCAGCCCAGCATTGTATCAGAGTTCCTGCTGCTGTGCATCCTTGCCGACACTTGATAATTTTTAGACTTTCAGAGATTTTCAGAGGTAAGGTGGACCATGTTAGGTGGACCAGCCTCTCGTTTTGTAATTGTGTAAATGGAAAATCTTACAAAGTGATAAAATATAATAGATATCGACAAATTGATTCGATCCTTGTCATTGTTGCAGGGAATGTCCCAAGACTCAATAAAAGATCATGGCTGTCATTAAGACCCTTTATGTTCTATGTTGTCATATGAACTCCTTGCTGTCTTCCATCTTAACACCTGCCACATGCCTGTGGCCTGAACATTCTCTCTGACGACCCTTACTCCGTTCCAATTAATCTTTTGGGACTTAACTACCACGATCTCTTGTGCTTAGAGCAGTGCCTGTCATATAATAGCTTCTTAATAACCTTTGTAGGATGAGTTAAAGAAAACATTGACCGTACCGTTTATCTCCCAGATCATCTTTCTCAAAATATCTCTTTTCTTTTGATTAGACTACTTATGAAGTCCTGGCCCAAGGGGAATGTGAAAACCTTCCTCCTTAAAGTCTGACTGTGAGATGTGGAACAGGCTCTGGAATATATCCAAAAACTGCCTCTTTAGCTATATAGCAGAGAGGTCTGGCCTTTGTGGCTTCAGAAGAGAGAGCGTTTTCCTCATCTACATTGACAGGACACCACTGCCTTCTACAACATAAAATGCAAGGGCTATAGAGTGTTCAGTCTGTACCCCCTCCCACCAATTTTACAAGTGGGGAAGTTGAAGCTCAGAGGTGAAAGAGGTTGGGCAGGTCAGCCAGGCAATCAATGAATGGAGGAGTCAGGATTAGAACAAGTTCCCAGGCCAGTGCCCCTTCTCCCCCCTCCCACCTGAGCCTCAAGCTCAAACTGCAGAATATTAGGAACTCTGGAAGTGAAGAAGTGATTTATGACATATCAATATCACATAATTTTTAAAAATGATGCTTTAAGATACAACATTGGTCTTGACCTACCTTTAAAAATATTAATTTTAATGGTTATTTCAAAGGCCTTTCATGACATAGACCACAGTGTTACCTGGGGCTGGAGCAGTTGTCTGCAGCTCTCAACATGCAGTCATGCAAAATCCTAAGTAACATTGTCAATCTCTACATGGTGTTTCACAGAGGACTGCCTTGGACCTTCAGCAACATCCTTGCCATAGATCCTTGGAAGTTCTGGTCCTGAGAAGTTTGTCTTGATAAATGGAAGCTCTGATCACAATAAAAATAGAAGAATCAGGGACAGTTTCTGGAAAGTAAGGGAACCCATCACCTGATACTGAAATTCATAAGGGAAGTCACAGTGGAGATGCTCCTGGCTTCTGACTCTTATTGGGGGCTTCTCCAAAGATGGGTAGCAACTGCATTCCCTTGCCCAGTTCTGATATTGTGACCAGTGGCATGCATGGTGAGGTGGTAGCTGGGTGCCACCTGTAGTGGTAAAGAGTTATCACAGAGCAGAAGGACACGTCAGAACTGGACATGCCCATGCTGGAGTGTCCTCACTAGGGTGCAGGAGTGGTGGCTTCCTGACTGGTGGATTCACCTACATTTTGTATTAAGCTAGATGTGCTCATGTTGACTTGATCACTAAGGCCTCTAGTGACACTGTCATAGGAGGGTGGGAAAGACGTGGCAGATGCGGTTTCAGATTTGTCTGGAAGCACACTGTTCTCATTTCCTACGAATGCAACGAAGTCTTCATCTGGGAGTGACACGGCCTCCTCTTCAGCGCTGGCCACACATGGGGGATTGACGATTGTCTTGGAGCGGTGGAACACATAGCTCCGATAGGCCTTTTGAATGACAGTGGCTGAAATGTCTTCTTGCTTCCACCGGAGGGTGGTGGCAATTGGTTCATAAGATGCTTTTGAAAGATTTGTTGCCATAAACTTCTCCTCCATATTTGCCTTCAGAGAATCCAACTCCCCAGACTCTCCCAGAACATTCTTGGTGAAGGCAAAAAGGATGTCCAAACAATGGATCTTATCTCCAGGGACCAAGGGAAGGTCCATTCGGATTAATATATTCCGATTGGGTTTTGGGATTTGCAAGGGGCCAGAGAGGGTGTCTGCAAAGTCTGAGAGGGCAGAAAAAGTTATAAATTGGGTGGCTTCTGGGTCAAACTTTTCCCAGGTCTCATAGAACATGTCAAAGTCGTCCTCGCTCAGGGGCTCGGTGCTCTCCTCTGTGGCCACGCTGAAGTTCTCCAGGATGATGGCGATGTACATGTTGACCACGATGAGGAAGGAGATGATGATGTAGGTGGTGAAGAAGATGATGCCCACGGCTGGGCTCCCACAGTTCCCCCGGGAGCCATTGCTGTTGGGCAGATTGGGGTCACAGTAGGGGGGCCCCGTGTTGAGGATGGGGTTGAGGAGACCATCCCAGCCAGCCGACGTGGTGATCTGGAAGAGGCAGAGCATGCTGTTGGCGAAAGTCTGGAAGTTGAACATGTCGTCGATGCCAGCTTCCCACTTGACATGGGGGAAGGTGGCCATGCCGAAGATGGAGTAGATGAACATGACGAGGAAGAGCAGCAGCCCGATGTTGAAGAGGGCAGGCAGGGACATCATGAGGGCAAAGAGCAGCGTGCGGATGCCCTTGGCTGCTCGGATTAGCCTGAGGATGCGGCCAATTCGGGCCAGGCGGATGACTCGGAGGATTGTTGGGGAGAAGTAATTTTCAAGTGATGAAATAATTGCAAAAACCACCAGGCCTTAAAAAGAGAGAGGAAATGATCTAAATTAGTACTCCCAATCATGATCCCTGACACAGTTAGCTGCGATCACACTCCTTCATCTTGGCTCCAGATGAACTTACACGTGTGCATCTGTATTCAAAGACTGTGAGTCCTTCTAGCTTGGCACAGTGGTTGGCATTGAGTAGGGGCGTAGTAAATGCTAACTGCAGAAATCCTTTCTCTCTCAAGTAGTCTCACCCTTCCTACCATGTTCTTACCTTTCTTTCCATCCAGAATATCTTTCTGGTCAACCTCCACGGTCAAAACCCTATCTTCTGGAGCGTAATTCAGCTGGAAGTGACTGCACCCTATTCCATAAGCTCACAGTCTACTGTCTGCTTCTGTCTATGACCCAGAGCCTGCTCTTCCCTGAGAATTCAGCCCTTGGGTCATGCCTTTTCCTCCACCCTGGTCCTGTGCTCTGTGAAGGCCACGACCCCCTGTGATTCATCTCCCTATTTCCTACTGTGAAGATTGACTAAGTTCCTAGCACAGGGTCCGGGGGATAATTGCACAGAGACTGGTATTAATTACAAGGGGACCTCAGGAGTTTGGCAACTTGCTGACAGCTAAAGCAGAATGGCTTTGAATGACCAGCTGTCTGCATAATGGCTTTTATTTGTTTCTTTCACTTTTCAGCTGTGTTTAAACTCTCTGTTAGGGTCTGGAGATGGGCATGTTTATGGTCAGTTACAGCCCCCACCCCACCATGAACAAGGTTGGAAAGATGAAGAATGCATATGTCTCTCCATCTGGTATCTTACTTGAAGATTTGTAAAGCTTGGTCTTGGGGAACTGTGGGACTTATCGGGACTACCAAAGATTAGGCAAGGCCTTTAGGTAAGACATGATTCAAAACCTCTGAGGACAAATGGTGAGGGGTGTGGTAGCAAGCTCTCTCCTTGCCAGGATTCCCTTGACCCTCTTCTCCTAGTTGCCTTTTATCATAGGAACATGAGTAGTGACAGTATTGTGTTGGAAGGTGGAAGGAAGTGGGAGGAGACTTGGGAAATAATTGTAATTTTTGATTATAAAGTCTTAATGAAAGCCTCTCTCCTAAAGTCCACTTTAACTAGGACATTATATGGACACATAATGGGTACATAATGTGTCCATGTAATCTCCTTAGATTTTTCCAGCCACCTGGTCTAAGGAGGATAAGTGTTCATAGTTGTAACATTTAGATACTCAATGCATGTCTTGCTGGTGGGAAGGAAGAAAGGGAGAGAAGGATGGACAGGTCTAGTCTGGGTGTTGTTGAGTGATGGGCCCAGCTGTTTTCCAGCTGTCTCTCAGAGTGATTTCTACCCAGGGACATGTTGCTGTGTAGCAAAGGAACTGGTAGTTAAGGTGTCCACATTATAGAATTGAGTACTTTAAGTATATTTTATTTCTATAAGTAAGTTTCCTTCTCTGAAATCATATCAAAATGGACTTTAGAGTCTGTCACTTTGAAAGACAAAAGAACAAAACAAACTTCCCATAAAAACCAGCAGCAACAAGAAAATAAAACAAAACAAAAGTACATTACAACCCCCCCCC